CAGGAATTCCATCACGCTTCATTGTTTGCATTGCATGAGGAGGCTCTGCATGGAACAGGAGCCAGTCATTCGAAACAAACAAGAAAACACTGCGTGGTTGAAAATCAAGAAAGGTGTGGGTCAGGGTTGTATCCTTTCACCATACTTATTCCATCTGCATGCGGAGCAGGTCATCTGAGAAGCGGGACTGTATGGGGAGGCATCAGAAGTGGAGGAAAGCTTATTCACAACCTGTGGTAGCACCTGGCACAACTTTGCTTGCTGAAAGCGAAGACTGTCAGCAGCAGTTAAGAAATCCAATGATGTATTGCCTGGACAAATCTTCTGCACAAGGTCTATTTAAGGTGTTGAAGAGCAAGAATGCCTGCCACTTTGAGGATTACGGCGAGCCTGACGCCAGCCACGGTATTTTCCATCGTCTCATATGCATCTGAAACCCGGACAGTGGATAAGGAAGACTAAGAAGAACTGAAGCACTGGAATTGAGGTGTGGGCAAAGAGGGTTGGAAGTACCATGACTGCCAGAGGAACGAGCAATCTCTCGTGAAGAAAGCACAGCCAGAATGGTTCTTCCAAACAAGAATGTCAGGACGCCAGCTCAAGTACTTTGAACATGTTCCCAGGGGACATCAGTCCTTGGAAGAGGACATCAGGCTAGGTAAAGTAGAGGGTCAAGGGGGAAAGGATGACCTTCAATGAGATGGACTGACCCAGTGGCTGCATCAATGAGCTCAAACAAAACCAGAATCCCGGGGATGGCACAGGGTCCGACAGTGCTCCATTCAGTGGAGCACAGAAACACTGTGAGTCAGTACCGACTTAAAAGCAACTAACGACAGCGTCCTGGCTCTGCTGTAATAGAAATATCACAAATGGGAAAAAGCTTCAAAACAGAGAGATTTATTGATTCAAGGCGAAAACGTAACTCATGTCACTGAGCAATTTGTATAGAAAGCAGAGCTTGGTTTACTGTGTTGACTTTAAAAAAAAAACAATGAAGTATTTTTATTATTAATTGGAGAGAAATTGTTCTCACAGTTCAGAAGGCTAGAAGTCTGAATTCAAGGCACTGGAGGAACAGTGGGTTAAGTATTTGACTGCTGACTGAGAGGCTGGTGGTTCAAACCCACTAGAAACTCCATGGAAGAAAGACGAAGCAGTCTACATCAGTAAAGATTCGTCAAAGCAACCCCACTGCCATTGAGTTGATTCTGACTCACGGCAATGCTAAAGGACAGGGTAGAACTGTCCCTGTGGGTTTCTGGGACTGTAACTCTTTACAGGAGTAGAAAGCCTCATCTTTCTCCCAAGGAGCTGCTAGTGGTTTCAAGCAGCTGACCTTGCAGTTAGCAGACCAAAGAGTAGCCCACGATGCCACCAGGGCTTAGAGCCTAGAAAACTTAAGGAAACAGTTCTACTCTGTTCTGGCCATTTTTTATGAGTAGGAATCATTTCAGCAGCAGTCGGCTATAGGTACATAAGGCTCTAGGGGAAGATTCTTATCTCTTTCCATCATTCCTCAGTTCCTTGGGAATCTTCATGTGGCCTGGCATCTATCTTTCTGTTTGTGCTCCTATGTCTATTTCTATGCTGCTCTTTATATGACTATCATTCAGAAGGGAGTAGGTTTAAGACATATCCTACCAAATAAAAGGCATATCCTATTCTTACATGGCCTCATTTACATAACAAAGCCCAATTCCCAAAAAGCATTACATCTGGGTATATAGGAGTTAGGATTTCAACACCTACTTAGGGGGAACACAATCCAATTGATAACCAACCATAAATACACATGAAAACCTCCTCCCCTTAAATGATAAAGTTACCTGTTGCTTAGTAAGGACCCTAAGACCATTAAGCTATCCTCCATCAAGGTGATAATTTCTCCAGACTCCGTTCCTTTGAGTAGCAGCTCGCCCTTCCCTTTAAATGCTGCAAAACTCAGGTTCTGGTTGGTCCAGTTGTCAATCACCAAAGCCAGCTTGGCTTCAATATCCTTCTCCTTAATGGCAGATATGCAAATATCCTGGAGAGGAAAAGCAGGAGAGAGCATGTCATGACATTTCAATGACAAAGTATGTGGTGTAGTGGCTACACATTGAGCTGCTAACACAAGGTCGGCAGTTTCAAAACTACCAGCCACTCCTGGGGAGAAAGTCAGGCTTTTTACTCCCATAAAGAGTTACAGTCTCCTCCCCGCACAAGAATTCATTTCAGAGGACAGCACTGAAGCTACAGCTCAGTGAAAGGGACAT